GTAGCGCCAGACCTTATATGGCTCATCCTCTTTTCTGATAAACCATAGCTGCATCATTTGATACTGTTATGACCCTATGCTTCAAAAGGAATCTAAACGAATAAACATTACCTGAATTATTTTTTTTTCTTTAAAATACCATTTCCCTTTTTTTATGCCTGTGGGGAGAATGGAGGAGATTACAGAACAGTATTCTCTCCTTGTGCATTATTTAATAAGTATGTTTTTGATTTTTTTTATTAAATTATTTCACCCCAACCAAGGCAATAAAACCACTAAGATGAAATGGATTCCTAAGTGTGAGAGAATATGAGAAAAAGAAAACATTATTAAAGAGAGACAACAATAAAAGAACAGGAATTAAGAAAACAGTAAATAACGATTGATATTACATTTAAATTTTTGAATATCAAAGTTGACAGGAAAACAAGAAGCTGGTAAAGACTTCCATAAGTGAGATGCGCAAGAAAAGAAACTGTTAAAAATAGAAGTTACGGTTAAATATAGCTGTAAAATAGCGGTTAAATATAGCTGCAAAATAGCTGTTAAATATAGCCGTAAATAGCTGTTAAATATAGCTGTAAAATAGCGGTTAAATATAGTTGTAGAGTAGCTGCTAAATATAGCCGTAAATAGCTGTTAAATATAGCTGTAAAATAGCAGTTAAATATAGCTGCAAAGTAGCTGTTAAATACAGCTGTAAAATAGTTGCTAAATATAGCTGTAAAATAGCTATAAAATAGCTGTTAAATATAGCTGTAAAATAGTTGTTAAATATAGCTGTAAAATAGGTGCTAAATATAGCTGTAAAATAGCTGTTAAATATAGCTGTAAAATAGCTGTAAAATAGCTGTTAAATATAGCTGTAAAATAGCTGCTAAATATAGTTGCAAAATAGCTGTTAAATATAGCAGTAAAATAGTTGTTAAATATAAATGTAAAATAGCGGTTAAATATAGGTGTAAAATAGCTTCTAAATATAGCTCTAAATAGCGGTTAAATATAGCTGTAAAATAGCTGTTAAATATAGCTGTAAAATAGCGGTTAAATATAGGTGTAAAATAGCTTCTAAATATAGCTCTAAATAGCGGTTAAATATAGCTGTAAAATAGCTGTTAAATATAGCTGTAAAATAGCGGTTAAATATAGGTGTAAAATAGTTGTTAAATATAGCTGTAAAATAGCTGTTAAATATAGATGTAGAATGATGAGACCTTGCCGCCAATCTACTATTGTGCTTAAATTCCATAGAGAACGATTACCATGAAAGTATTTATAGAAAAGGTACATGGAGGCTATGTTACAGCATTAAGAAGATGACTGAAGTTTATTATGCCATTTGACTCTGCGAGGAATAAAAAGCATTAGCGTTAATCTTCATCAAATCCGGTTCTCTTTGTTAATTCTGCCCAGTTGCTTCTCTATTTCTTTCAGTCGTTATGTCTCCTGGTGATTTTTGGCCGTCCTCGTTTCCTTTCCCTCGGCGGGTTCCACGTCAATGTTTGGTGGGTAATATTGGCCGCTGGTTTCCTGAGACAGCCTAAGGTCTAACATCACTTCCTTCGCAAGATTTTCGGGCTAACAGCATTCAGACATTGAAAGTAAATAATCTTGCTAAAAAAGGGATGTATTTAAGAAAATATTCCCATAGTTCAGTTGTCAAGAAGTTAGAGCTTGGGTTCATTTGTACGAGAGCAAAAATAGGCAGACATTGCCAGAGATTATAAAAAGTAAACATAGGCTTTGTTGACGTGAGTGCCAAAAAGGTAAGCATAGGTTTGGTGTCCATGAGAGTCAAAAAGAGTGAGTTTATTGTCCATCACTGCTCCCTCCGCAAGATCAGCTTATTGGCGGAATATTGACATTCAAACGTTGAACTTTCATAATCTTCCTATAAAGAAGAATGTATTTAAGAAAATATTCACAATGTTAGTTCAAATGTCAAAAAGTTAGAGATTGGTCAGTTTTGCGCTAGAGTCAATAAAAGCAACAAATAGACGAGGTTTGCCAGAGATTGAAAAAAAGGCAAACATAAGTATTGTTGTCGTTAAAAAGTCAGTAATAAGTATGGTTTGTCCCAGATCTATCTATCTATCTATTTAAGCCTGTTCAGATAGATAGATAGATAGATAGATAGATAGATAGATAGATAGATAGACTTAAAAGCTTGTAATCAGACAGATAGATAAATAGATATTGCAGAGTGAAAAGGCTGTGATCAGACATAGATAGATAGATAGATAGATAGATAGATAGATAGATAGATAGATACGAACAAACTCAATTAGATAGATAGATAGATAGATAGATAGATAGATAGATAGATACGAACAAACTCAATTAGATAGATAGATAGATAGATAGATAGATAGATAGATAGATAGATAATGAACAGATAGATAGATAGATAGATAGATAGATAGATAGATAGATAGATAGATAGATAGATGAAAAGCCAGCCAGATAGATAGATAGATAGATAGATAGATAGATAGATAGA